CCCCAAAACCCCAAAACCCCAAAACCCCAAAACCCCAAATATGAAAACAATATTTGAAAATCCAAAATTATAAAGATATCTCAGATAAAATGGAGACAGAACAGGTAAACTTCGTAGCTTCTTAGAACTTCCTGCATCATTAAGTCTTGGGTTTTATTGACCATGACATACTAACATGCGATTTTAGGAAGAGTTTACACCTAGATTAGTGCTGACCAAGAACTTAAGCTCTAAAAAGAGAAAACAAAGCGTCACGTTTCTCGATCTAGTCCAGACAACTCTAAAGACAGGACTCACTGGTGACCAGGATATGGCAGAAACAACTGAATCGTCAGACGAATCTGAGGAAGAGCTTCTTGAGGAGGAAGACGTTGGGGAGATCGCTTATGAAATGGCCACAGATGCTGTTGATGAGGTCTTACACTTGAGGAAGAGAGTTCGCAGTCATATAGGAAATCTTAAAAGCCACAAAGATAAAGTTATAAATAAAGTAATATTTAAGATTGACGTCATTTAGTATAAAGCCAAGATCAATGATAAAGCTAATGATGCCCAGTACTTAAGATTTGTCGATAAGCTCACATATTTTATTGCTGTTCCAATAATGGTTTTTGACTTTTGGTCATTAGGAAGATTCCCTGACTACGGAACTTATAATATCCATTTAGCTCTCGTACTTGGACTTGTATTCTGGAGACATATCAATTATAAATACAGTGGATATCATTACTATCTCATTGATTTCTGCTATTTTGGGAATTATACTCTATGCTTATTGTTGACATTGCTTCCTATGAGTAAATCGGCATATTGTGCAAGCTTCGCATATGGAGTTGGTCCACTAGGAATAGCAACAATCTTAGTTGGAAATTCCTTTGTCTTGCATAGTATAGACAAATTGACAAGTTTTTACATTCACTTAAAACCAATGATCACGATGACAAATTTGCATTGGAGCACACAGCACAATAAAGATAGAGGATGGGACCTCTATGACACTTCTGAAAACACATTCAGTTTTGAATTCTTTTGGTATTACGTCACAAATGCCTTCCAGTACTACATAATCTGGGCTGTTGTCTATTTCCTAATCCTCTTTGTAGTTAAAAGAAGGAGGATCAAAGAAAGAAACTATGATACTTTATTTATTTATCTTTCAAACAACGACAAGGGAGCAAGGAAGTTATGGTACAGCAAGGGGAAGAAGTTTGCTCCATTTTTCTATATGCTGACACATATGGTTATCTTCTTATCTCTGACTTGCCTTTCTTTCCTATGATTCTTCTCAATGTACCTGAATATCTTCATGATTGCTTTGACTCTGTTCTCCAGTGCCTGGAGAGGAGCCACTTTCTACATGGATTATTTCTGCAAGCAATACGAAATCAACCTGGCTAATATCGAGGAGCTTTATAAGGAGATTAAGAAGAACGGAAGTGATAAATCCTCTGCAGATAGTGGCCAAGCAAATCAAGATATAGATGGAAGCGCGAATCGTAATCACACCAAAAAATCAAAGAATTAGTCAAAATCAGAATAGATTTGGAGATGAAAATAATTCGCTATTCAATATCGTCATTTTGCCTGGGGTTTTGGGGTTTTGGGGTTTTGGGGTTTTGGGGTTTTGGGGTTTTGGGGTTTTGGGG